CTCTGACTTTAGCACCCGCTGAATGAGGGTAAATTGTTGGCAGATCGTCAGACCATCCGCCATTTTGGCAGACAGAGAAAACGTTCAACAGAAAGACACGTGTAGTAAGTTTAGTGTAGCCTATTATGGTGATCGGTACACACCCCTGCCTCACACACAAGACACACAGAGCAGTCAGCTCAGGTAATATCTGTGGCGGTGTTTGAACCAAACTCAGCAGTGGAAGAGGCCCAGTCCCTCCTGAGTGACAGCCGGTGAGCTTACCAGCAGCACCGGCCAGACAACAGGAGGGAACTCCGGTGTTGATGGAGAATCATAAGCTTGTCAATCAGAGACAAGAGACATCACTTGGTTTTATTTTCGTTGGCCAACTTTTGTATTGAAAGGTATTTTTTGTTTGCTTGTTGGGATCCAGAAGAAGACGTTTTTATAGAGATAAGGACCCATTCATTGGTGGTTTAACTGAGTGTTAGGTTTCCTGTCATCTGTAACGTTACCTTTGAAATATCAGGCTGTTAGTGATTGTTAGGTTAAGTGAAATTAATGTCATGTACTAAAAGACACTGCATGCACAATGTTTTTGTGTTTAAAATTCGAATAACATTATTTACATCACAGTATGCCTAAATGAGCAGAACATTCATTTAGTTTATCTTGGTGCATTTCTAAATTGACACATACAATTTCTGTGTGTTAGACAAAAATACCTGCTTGTCACAGTGGCAGGCAGTAAAGAAAGTTATTTTTGGACCTTGCTGCTGTCAACACAGAGCACAGAAACATCACACTGAGGTCAGACAGTACAAAAGGAACTAGCAGGAGTTGCAGATGAAGATATGAGAGAAGTTGTGTCAGTATGACTTCACTATGTGAGACCAGTAGGCCTATCTCTCTAAAACCTTCACCGTGATAAAAGTAGCTTCAAATAGGAACTATTTGAAGTCTCTGTTTCCGGTTTACACTTTCTTGTCTAATTTCCATTGTACAAGTTGGATAATGGAACAAGCCGACGCTTTGGTGCGCTAAATTGCATTGCACGTCTTCATTCAATGCGACAATAACACAGCATAGTGCTAACATCGTTTAGGCAGCATCAGCTCTGGAAAAATGAACTCACACTGTTCAATATACATTTGCATTAGCGCAAGCAGGACAATGAAATTAGGAAATACCCCCTAAACTGGCTGTTTTCATCAACTGATCCTGATACTTCATTCTGATCCACTTATTTTCACATCTGACCTTCAGCCTACTTTTACAAGACATACATTTCCCAGATTCCCTTTTAATGTAATAAATGTAAGTTTAGATATTCAGTACCTGACACAGAGAGAAGGGAGATGACAAATCCTCTCGCTGCTGCAGTTAAACTCATAGCTGCTCCTCTCATCTCTCTGTGTGGCTTCAGAGACAATAAAACATGTTAGCAGATAAAATAATGTACAAGGAGATATACAGTACCAGTCACATCAATAAACAATTCTACTTACAATGAAGAAGGGCGTTGTCTTTAAAGAAGCCTTCCTCTGTGTCAGCAAGCAGAACACGGATATCAGGCTGTTAAACTACTAGATTTCCTTCCTCTTTAGATTATTAATATTCATGATGAGCCAAATGCCAGTTAACACCAACATCAAAATAAAGCAAACTAAGAACTTAATAAGAGAGAATAAGAAAATATTATTATGCCCTGTTGGTATTAAACCTGTTTGCTGCTTCCCACTGACACAAGAAACCATTCAAAAGAGAAAACAGAACAGACAGGCGTGAAAGTTGGTTTCATGCATCACTTGACACGTCTAGTGCATCTTTAGACAGTGAAATAACCTTTATACCAGTATGAGTTCAAAGAGATGGACTGCAGCAGTATGGGATGTAAAAAGTCACGTGCTGAGCTCAGTGTTTATTCAGTATTGAGAAACATGTAAGAAAAGTAGATCAGAAACAATGAATTACATTTTGCAGCTCTCTCACTCACAGTCATTGTGACTCTGTGTCACTGTAACACAGAGCACATCTGACAAGATGCTGCTGGAGGTAAGACAGAAAATATGTCTTGTTGCAATTTGGGTGAAGTGACTCTTTGAAACAGGCAGTGGAGGGAGCTCTCAGAGTGAGGAAGCCTGAATGTGCCACAACAAAGGTTCACCACTAGAGGGCAGTGAAACATCACAGATACTGAAACATTACTCAAACCAATGAATGGATTATCAAAATAGTTGGCGATAAATTTAATAGTTGGCAATTAATCATTGCAGCTCCAGACTGTGTGTTGCTTTCAGCCTGTCCACCCCATTATCCCCAGGTCAGATCTACCGGTGTGCATTTCTCTCTAACACCACAGTGTATTTTCTTTGCTGCTTATCACTGAGAGTCACCAAAGTTAGAAAGTTGATGCTCATTGTGGCTCTATAAAGACACACAGCCCTGAAACTGTAAGATGCAACTTTTAACTAATTGACTGATAAAAATGGCTCTTCAAAAACTCACTTTACCATGAAGATAAACTTGAGCATGACAAATACTCTCAATTCCATATTTTCCTGATACTTACTGACAGTACACCAATATTGTTACTTCACAGCTGTATTACATTAGTTAATACACATACACTCACTGATGATATGGATAATCAGGTAGGTGTTAGTGGTTTTACTTTTACACTGTTATTTTTAACGGTATATTCTTTCATGCAAAAAAGAAATAAAATATTCTTAACATGTTGATTTGTGATTTTTTTTAACCTGTCCTGCCCAGCAGTCTGTTACACATTATGAAGAGCTGGATGTTGTGATAGACAGATTATTATTGAAACTATTGGTTTGTTGTTGTTACCATCATTTTAACTTCTGTAACGAACTTGCTGAATGAAGGCTCATAGAAGCTCTTAATGAAGGGCTTTTGCTCTGAAAAGCTTCAAATTAAGTGAACCTCGACCTGCTCTGCTTCTATGAATGACCCCAAACAATTTAAGTGGACTAAATTGACATTTAGAGCTCAAATGAAGGTTAAATTCCTCTTCATTAAACTGTCTGTGCATCTTTATATCAGCAACATCCCAAATCATAATAATCTGTTACACTGTGGCACATTTCATCCTCACAGTGACAAGAACTGACTGTGTGAGCAATAAGCCAAGACAAGATTTTATTTGTCTGGTAAATAAAATAATATTATGGAAAATAAGCAGAAAAGCTGAAATGCACACAGAAGCTCCTCATGAGTCAATAAGTTATTTCGTAGGGATAATTTCAAAATAACAGTTTCCATAACAACTTTATTCCTCACATTCCTGACATAACTAACTAATATAACAAACTCTGCAGGAAATAATAAGCTTACATAATTTAATCATGTCAAACATCACCTGTCTATCGGCTGACAGGTCATCATGATTCAGTTCAACCTGCTAACACCACCATGTTGTCCTACTTTGTCTGAAGTCTGAAATCTGAAGTCGGCCTGTTTTATTGGATGCAGGAGGCTCTAACCTGACTGGACTTCACACCATGTCTTCCTGCTGCTCTGTGTCTTCTGTCTGTGCTGCAGTGACGCCCTTCAAGTCTGAGACGTTCTCATACGCAGGATCAGAGTCTAACTGATGGGAGAGACGACAAAATGAGGCTCAATGTACCTCTTTCATGAAACCTGCATATAATTAGATTCTATCCAAAATGTATTTAATCACATTTACAGGTAAATTATTTGCTGAAATAGTGTTATGACAAAATGCCTTACTGGTTTCTACTCAGCAAGTTGCATTTTTAACCTTAATCTCCCCACTTTTCATCATATGGTGGATTAAGATGTCTGATGTGTACATGTGTAAGTGAAGTGAAAAACGTACCTGCCACAACAGTCAAATGTAAAGTGAAGTTATGACGTCCTCTTTTGTTCTGGGCTTCACAGTAATATTTGTGTTCAGGTCTGATGTCAGTGATGGTGAAGTTCTGTCCTGACGGAGTTATGACGTCCTCGTGTAGATGTTACAATTTGCAACACAAATTAAACTTTTTGTATTTACTACATCAGAGGACTGTGGCTGTTAGTTTAGTTCACATGCAGTTCTTCTATTGACTGTGACAGACTGAAATTGTCCGCTGCACACAGATGTTGTCACTTTGTTAAGCTTCTCCTGCTGGACTGAAACTCCAGCATGTTAGTGTCCAGTCCATTGTGCGCCTGCCTGTTTTACTTGTAACCTCTTAAAATGAAGCAATATGTACTCCCATTTTGTGGCCTCAGTGTAGATATGACTTGTGAGCATTTCATGTTTTTATTTTAGGCAAAACAAAACATTACAGAACAAAGGAGATGGACCACAATAACAAGGAATTAAAAAGGAAGCAAGACAGACAACTGTAATGAGATGTAATATAATTTAGCGGAAATAACCGGAAATAATCACCGAAATTAAAAACTGTAATAATGGAACTGGTAAAAAAAGAGGACAGTAACAATGTGGTGAAAATAAACTGTTTACACAGATAAGAGAGACGTGCACATTATGGGATCTAAAATATGGCTCTTGACTACAATCTAGTGACAACAGAAGGAAATTACAACTAGATTACCTAAATCATGTTCCTCTCTCCTCTTTCTCTTTCTCCCAATGAGCTTTTAAATAGCAACTGTTATACTACAATTAAACAAAAAATAGTAATTACAGGCTTACCTCCTATTAGATATCTGATGCAGTACTACAGAGATAAAGTATGTCTGAAGCTATACTGTAGAAGAATTAGGAAAATGTTTGCTAGGTCTAAATTAATCTTTAATAAGGTTAAAATGTATCCTGCAGAGTTTTTTTTATCACTAGCATTATGGAGACATGGTTTTACAAGTGGGTTCTAGTTTTGTTTAGCAGGTATAATGTTTATCTTATTCACCATGTTAGTTGTGTTAGTTTCTAACATTTGTTAATTGGCACTAAACAGAAAGTACAGCTGAGGATGCTGGGAATGTCATTAGTTTTTCAGGTATTTGGTCATAAACCAAAGAAGCAAATAACACATTTCAATCCATCCAATAGTTGTCAAGACATGTCACAAAAAACTAAAATGACACCCTGGTTCTGGTGCAGGGTTAAAGTCGGGATCCCAAAGTCAGTAGGATGCATCCTCTGGGAACCATAAATGTCAGTAAAAACTTTATGGCAATCCATCAAATAGTTGTTGAGCTATTTCAGTCTGGACTCTGGACCAAAGTGGTGGACCAGTTGACAGCCCAACCAACCACAGACTAACTTTGCCATCCCTAGAGTCTAGCACATTTAAAAATGACAGAAAGCACAGATTAGATGTTCCGGTTGTGTTCAGCACTTTTGTTGACTGTACTGTACAATGCAGCTGGATCCTCCACAGTTTCCTGACTTCTGGTCCTGAGAAAAAAAGATAAAGATATAGTATTAACTCAAACTGTTGTGAAAATATTGTGAGCCAGGTTCAGGTGTGATGAAGACGTTTCAAGAGACTGATGAAGGCTTACACAGCATGGTTTAATGAGACTCGGCCGAGGAGATGCAGTGCCGGCACACAACATGTGAACACATGAAATGCCAACACCAAATCTGAAGGGTACTTCCTGTCTGATATTTATCCTTCCTAGACCTACACAGATTCACTAAGTGTCCAAATAAGTGTCCTTTTCTACATAGCCAGTCAGTCTGTAATGAGACAACATAAAGATAATCTTGACCTTGGGTTACCTAACAGATGTATAACAGTGCATCCTTATCAACTCAGCTGCATCAGTCAGCCGACAAGCAGGCAGAGAGGAGAGACAGAGTCTGGCCTACAGTTTTGGAGAGGCCCTGGCTGTCACCTTTGGCTTCCTTTAGCTCAGCAATTGACCCTATCATGACCTGCGGAAACCTGGGTCATAGTACCCTTAAATTCCTTCACAAATACAAACAGTGATAGTGAAAATGTAAAGAAAACAAGCAAATGCAACAGGAATGAAAGTGTTAAAATGAAATACTTGATCATCAGCTCCATTAACTGCATGCCATGTTGAGGTTTTAGTGAGGATAATGTTCCTGTGAGAGGAGCTGCTCACCTTGGGGCAGTACTGGCACTGTCAAATTGGACAGCAGCGTACTCAACAACTTCTTCCTCCTCCTCTTCCTTGTGTCTTCGGGGGACAGCTGGTATGATGTTGGAGTAGACAGCATCTGTCTGGTTATTGGAGAAGTGGAAACTGGCATAATGAAGGTCATCCTGTTCCCTGTCGTCTGGTCTATCTCCAGGCTCAGATGATTGCTTGGAGGATCTCTTTTTCCTGGTTAGAATGAATTAAAAACCAAGGAAATAATAGTTCATCTGCCAACCTGGCTGCTAACAAGACTCTGGTATTCAATGTAAAATGCATCAGTAAAACAAATCTACTCACCCTATCAGTAGGAGGACAGAGAGCCATATGATAGCCAGGAAAACAGCAGATGTGTTCCAAAGACTGCTGATTTCCATACTCCTGGGAACACTGGAATAAGACAAAATGACTCATTTGAGTGTGTTCAGATGTTTGGCCACATAGCGTGATATAACCAAAAATATTTTCTTTGCACATGTATTATGTATGTTCTTTGAAAGATCTTTTGCCATCTTAAAAGACACATTACATTACACAATGTCCTCCTGTATCCCCAAGCTCCCCCTGGCCAGCAGGAAGATTGAACCCCTTTACTGTCTCCCTGGTCTGTCCTATGACCTTCTCTCAGTCACATGTGCATGGCTAAATCTGGACGCCCTGGCATCATCTCAAATCTCTCCTCTAAATGAAAATCTGCCTCATTTTGACAGCTTGAATCAATGACTTTAGCTTTCCTAATTTTTGTGAACAGAACAACAACTAGTGCGAACAAAGCTGCAGTATTTTTCTGACTTGAAATTCACTTTGCCTGTTTGTTTGGTATTTTAGTGCAAATGTTGCAGGTGAGGTGCAAACAACTGGGAGTTTCAAATAAGGCAGTGCAAAGCTCAGTTACTCTGAACTGTATTCCACTTCACCCAGCCCTTTTGTACAATGTGTCTCGGCTCCTATAAGAACTAAGACAGGGGAAAACAGCCACAAGATCGAGGAAGAACACCAACACTACAGGGGATACGGAAAAGCAGATCTAACGCAGCAACATTGTGATTTCATACGTGTCTGGAATATCAGAGAAACTCAGGAGGATTTTCAGCGAACACCACATCCCTGTGTTTCTTAACCCAAGAACACGCTAAGACAGATTCTGGTTCACCCTAAAGACCGCACACCCAAACACGAGAAAAGCAATCTAGTGTATGTGGTCCAATGCAGTGAGCAATGCACAGATCTGTATATTGAGGAAACTAAACAACCACTAACAAACACATGGCTCAACACTGAAGGGCCAAATCCTCAGGTCAGATCCCAGCAGTTTACCTACATCTGAAGGATAAAAGTGCACATTTTAGACAGAGAGGATGGTCGGTTTGAAAGAGGTGTGAAGATATTAATTTACACCCGGGTTGAGAAGCCGTCGCTTAACAGTGAAGGGGGTCTGCGACACCACTTGTCCCCCATTTACAATGCTGTCCTTTCATCCCTTCCCAGGAAACTTAACAAACGTTCACTTTTGGCCTCAGGTGAGGATGCCAACGATGGTCATTCAGACTTGGCCTCAGGTGACTCTAATGACCATAACGACTGTTATTACAAATGCCAGGAGCACTAAGAACCAGCAGTATCGATCATCTTGGCAAATGACCCCACAGAGGTTAAACAGCTGAGTTTTCCTACCTTCTAGTATCTTCAACTAAGTCCAGTTGCCCTTGATTTTAACCTTAATCTTCCCACATTTCATCATATGGTGGATTAAGATGTTTACATGTGTACATGTGTAAGTGAACTGAAAAATGTACCTGCAACAACAGTCAGATGTAAGGTGGAGTTATGACGTCCTCTTCTGTTCTGGGCTTCACAGTAATAATTCCCACTGTGTTCAGCTCTGAAGTCAGTGATGGTGAAGTTCTGTCCTGATGCTTTTGGTGAGTCTTCATTCTCCTTGTACCAGGTATAATTAGCTGCTGGGTTAGCATCACTGCTGCAGGTCAGAGTCACTGAACTGCCCTCCACTATCTCAGCAGAGGGACTCACTGACACAGAGGGAAGCTTTGGAGCATCTGGTAGGAAATTAAACAACATGCATTAAGACATATTTCAGAAAGTTGACACATGTGATTTGGAATAACTCCTGTATCATGGAAAAAAAGCTTGACTTACACTCAACATCTATAGAGAGAGATGTAGAGTTGATCTGTCCATACTGATTCTCAGACTTGCAGCGGTAGATCCCTCTGTCCTCAGAGCTGATGGAGGTGAAGTGATAACTTCTTTGTGGTCCTTGAAGGAATGTTTGGTTCTCCTTGTACCAGATGTATTTAGCTGCTGGGTTAGCATCACTGCTGCAGGTCAGAGTCACTGAACTGCCCTCCACTATCTCAGCAGAGGGACTCACTGACACAGAGGGAAGCTTTGGAGCATCTGGAGAAGATTTTACTTAACTTAACTGTAATATCAATACTGCCAATAGCGAATAAAACTTCTCCATAAACATCTACTAGAATGTGAAGCAGACAGATCTTAAGAAAGAATTCATCCCACATAGACCCTTTTCAAGTGATTAAAACCTATGTTGTTTTCCTATACTCTGCCTTTCACTCACATTTCACATTAATAAAGATGTATTTAGTTGTCTTCCTCCCCAGCTGGTTCTCAGCTGCACAGTAATACTCTCCAGAGTCAGAGGACTGGATGGAGCTGAAGACAAGCTGTGATTCTTCACTGAGCAGTCTTTGGTTCTTCTTGTACCAGGAGTATTTAGCTGCTGGGTTAGCATCACTGCTGCAGGTCAGAGTCACTGAACTGTTCTCCATGATTTCACCAGAAGGACTCGCTGACACAGAGGGAAGCTTTGGTGCATCTGGAAGAAAACTTTAACATGATTAAAAGGTGAAGTAAATATTAGACGCAAAGTGAGTATTGGAGGTCAGTTCCTTCATGGGCAGCCAAGGAAGGTGTCTTTGTAAGGGATTTGATATTTGATTTGTTAGTTCAAGTTTGGTGATGTATGGTTAATCTAGTCGTTCATTTGTCAGTCATGTTACCGTGATAATACTGATTAGTTATAATGTGTCTGTAAGGTTAAAGAGACAGAGGTATATTGTATGATGTAGGCCTCTGTATTGTTTTAATATTTTGTATTTGAGAATGTAGTGAAAGTGTGAAACAAGCAGGTTTAAGAGTATTAAAGCCACTGGATTTAGATTTTGGAGATGGAAATAGCAGTAAGTAAAGTGAGTCATAGTAACAGTTAAGAGGTGAAGGATTTCTGTTGAACTTAACATCAAATTTGTACATGGATATAATTTGTAAAATATGTTATTCCAGCAGTTTGATATATTAACCTCCATGCTGTAATGTGTAATTTGTTACAAGTATTATTATTGTCAAAGTGGTTTATAAGATATAAATATATAAAAAGATATATTCTGTTTAATAAAGACAGAACAGCCTGCTGAACCATCACAAGTAACATCTCCCTGTCTCTGCTTTTTCTGTACAAAACAGGACACAATATCTGTTCACAGGTTACTCATGCATGAGGCCTGTAACATAAATATTAATGGATTAAAGGCATGTATAATCTTTATTTTGACATCATTTCCAGAAGAAAGCTGCACTGTCTGACCTGTAACATTTACCAGTCTTAGAACATTTGACCAGTCATTGCTCTTACACTATTGTGGGAGACTGAGGAGTAAACTCACACACTGAAGGAGAAGGGAAATCTTCACGTCCTTTCACAGCACAGGAATAACTGTCTGCAGAACCAAAGTAGCCTGAATAAGAAGAAGATGTTTCTCTCTGAACCTTCTGTCCATTCTTGTACCAGATGTAGGAAGGACGATCAGGTAGACGACAACTGCTGTGACACTTCAGCTCTACCCAGGAGGGGTATGAAGACGACGTCCTCACTAGCACCTGAACATCTGGATCTTTAAAAAAAGAACATTTAAGTTTGTTCTTTATTAAATACTAGAATAAGAGGTACAGTTAATGTAATTTTTATAATCCATAAGTACAGCACTAAAAATTAGAGAATTATTGACTTACAGTCTTACAAAAATCAGTTTGTGTTCATCAGTACCTGTGACAGTCAGAGTTGTACCAGGTAAACTACTCCTCCATTCAAAGCTTCCTGCTGTGAATGTGAAGTGATACTCAGCTGAGTCGCTCTCTCTCAGGTCAGTGATTCTCAGAGTGGGGCGTCCTCTCTCTGTTTCAAAGACCTGAACACGACCTGCATACTGGGAGTCTTCACTAAGGTCCTCAGGTCGTGTGAGAGAACGCCAATGATGATTAAGTTCAGGACTGAACCAGAATCTAGATCTGATAGTTTCATAACTGTTGTAAGCACAAGAAATGTCCACTGATGAGCCTTTGAAGGCACAGACGCTTCTGTCAGTGTAAGTCACTCTGTTGCAGGTTTGACCATGGACACCTGAAAGAGAAAATCTTACTTAGAACAACTGTTAGAACTACATCTTTCACAGCAGTAATACAGAGCAGGTTGGATGAGTCACTGACAGCAGAAGTGATCCTGTAGAGCTCAATGGCAAAAATATTGTGTTAACGTAGTAAGGGGAAGTGGAGTCATTCACATTTAAAGTACTCTTCTGTCATTGGACACTGCAATAGGTTAAACATGCCACCAGATGGCGCACTGTTAGTGGGAGACAGTGTAGTAAACTCACACTTAGATGGAGAAGGAAAATCCTCACGTCCTGTAAGGACACAGGAATAGCTGTCTGCAGGATAGAAGCTGCCTGAATAAGAAGATGTTTCTTCCTGAATTTTCTGTCCGTTCTTGTACCAGATGTAGGAAGGATGATCAGGTAGACGACAGCTGCTGTGACACTTCAGATCTGCCTTCGTAAAACCCCGGTGGACTTTTTCCTTGATCACCTGCACCTGTAGATCTGGATCTGTGAAGAAGGAGCAGAAATATAATTTCTATTCATTCACATGCGAAAAATACATACTAACACATATTAACTGTTTCTGTGCATGGATGTTCATTTTTTGTCCCATTGGTAATGATATATAGTGAAGATAATTTAATCTCAAAGATAATTTTACGATCTTTCAATAAAATCGAGAGGTTTTCAGTCAGCAAACAAACAAGTGGTCACTGAGCAGGAAGGAGATGGTAAGCTGTCATTCTGTTAATGTGAAGGCTGACAGGAGCATCAGCTGTTTGAACACTAAACTAAAACCAGTCTGGAGAAACATCAAAGACGCCATTCACATCCTACATCAACAGTCATCCATTAAGTGAGACGGAGGTTACAATCTTCCACCAATATATGACCACTTCCTATCATGTGACCAAAAGTTCACATTAAAGTAAAACTTCATTTAGTAACTGGACCTTTGAGCCTAGATTTTCTTCATCAAACATTTACAGCACTGATTCCTTGATATTGATCCTTTGGAACAAAAAATATTGAAATAAAAATGTTACCTGTGACAGACAAAGTGACTCCAGGTGAACCAGTAAAGCTCCCACCTTGATGGTTTGTTATGAACCTGAACTTGTACTCAGCTGAGTCGCTCTCTCTCAGGTCTGTGATTCTCAGAGTGCAGTGGTTTTTATCACAGTAATACTGCACACGGACTGAATACTCTGAGTCTGTTCTCAGATCCACAGGTTCACGATAACTTACTCTAGTAAACCAAATAAGTTTTTCAACTGTTGTTAAAATGTTTATCCTGTGTGGGTATCTGTAGGTGCAGCTTATGTCCACTGTTGATCCTTTTAAGGAACAGATCTGAGTAGAGGTGTAAGTCACTCCCCAGCCAATCTGACTCTGTACCACTGTAACACAGAGCACATCAGAAACTTCAATCACAATCTTAACATCAAACAAAAGACTGCATCTGTATGTAAACCTGCTAAAGAACACAGAGAGGTGTTTCATGTGAAAGGAAACAAACAGATCCGAGAACTTCAGTTGTCACTACCATATAAACACTAGTGCTAAATATGTAATGAGACAGAAAACAGACACTCAGGCAAAGACAGTGTGCTAAATGTCCTTCAGTATAAATTTGGATATAGATTACCTGGCATAGAAAGAAGGAAAACAACTAATCCACTCGCTGCTGCTGTTAAACTCATAGCTGCTCCTGCTTCAGAGATAAAACACATATGTAGGTAATTAATGTACAAATGATATATAGTCATGTCAGACTTCTACTTACAAAGGGAAGTTATGTTGACCTTAATGTTCCTTTGTGGTCAGGAGGGTACGCAGAAAGCTGTTAAAATACACCACGCTTCCTTCCTCTGCACATTATTGATATGCATTGCAAACCAGATGGTATTAAATGGCCAAGAAGATGACTTGTTTATAGTTTTGCAAAATGTTTATTTACTTCAAAACCTAAATGTCAAATGTTAAATCAGATATTTGGTGCAGGACAAACGATAGTTTAACCATTTGTTTTTGCCACATTGGTGGACTGCAGCTGTTATTTTAGTTCACATGCAGTAAAATTATCCGCTGCACACAGATGTTGATATCACTTTGTTCAGCTACTCCTGCTGGACTGAAACTCCAGCATGGTATTGTTCAGGCTATTACTCTCTGCTTCTTTTGATATGTAGACTTGTGAGCATTTCAAACTGTTTTTATTTAATCAAAACAAAACATTACAGTACAAAGGAGATGGTCCATAATAATAAGCTTTTAAAAATGAGGCAAGACTGACAATTGTGATGAAATGTTGTAATAATGGAGTAGAAATATCTAGAAGAAATGAAATTGTGATAATGGAACTAGTGAAAAAAAGGAGGGCTGAAAACAGACTGTTTACACAGATAAGAGAGAAATGTACTTCATGGGATGTAAAATATGGCTCTTGACTACAATCTAGTGGCAACAGTTTGAAATTAAAGCTAGATCATCTAATGCACGTTCCTCTATAACAACCTAATATGTCTTTAAATAGCAACTGTTATACTACAATTAAATAAAAAATAATAATTACAAGCTTACCTCCCGTTAGGCATCTGATACAGTACTACAGAGAAACAGTATGTCTGAAGTCACACTGTAGGAGAATAATGGAAATGTTTGGTCTACATTAATCTTTAATTGGCGTTAAAGGTATCCTGCAGAGTTTTTTCTAATTCAGGAATTGTTTTTACAAGTGGGTTCTAGTTTTGTTTAGCAGGTATAATGTTTATCATATTCACCATGTTAGTTGTGTTAGTTTCTAACATTTGTTAATTGGCACTAAACAGAAAGTACAGCTGAGGATGCTGGGAATTAGTTTTTCAGCTATTTGGTCATAAACCAAAGAAGCAAATAACACATTTCTTGGCAATCCATCAATCCATAGACATTTTAGATGAAAAGATGAAAAGTCAAGGAATTCCCAGAGCTATTAGGATTTATCCTCGGGGCAACATGAATATTTGTACCAAATGTTATGACAATCCATCCAATAGTTGTCAAGATATGTCACAAAATGACACCCTGGTTGTGTTGCAGGGTTAAAATCTGGGGATCACCAAAGTCAGTAGGATGCATCCTCTGGGAACCATAAATGTCAATAAAAACTTTTATGACAATCCATCAAATAGTTGTTGAACTATTTCAGTCTGGACTCTGCAAGTGGCAGACCAGCTGACTGCAAAACTAACTAACCAACCACAGACTAACTTTGCCATCCCTAGAGCCTAGCACATTTAAAAATGACAGAAAGCACAGATTAGACGTTCCAGTTGTGTTCAGCACTTTTGTTGACTGTACTGTACAATGCAGCTGGATCCTCCACAGTTTCCTGACTTCTGGTCCTGAGAAAAAAGATAAAGATATAGTATTAACTCAAACTGCTGTGAAAATATTGTGAGCCAGGTTCAGGTGTGATGAAGACGTTTCAAGAGACTGATGAAGGCTTACACAGCATGGTTTAATGAGGAGATGCAGTGCCGGCACACAACATGTGAACACATGAAATGCCAACACCAAATCTGAAGGCTACTTCCTGTCTGATATTTATCCTTCCTAGGCCTAAACAGATTCACTAAGTGTCCAAATAAGTGTCCTTTTCTACATAGCCAGTCAGTCTGTAATGAGACAACATAAAGATAATCTTGACCTTGGGTTACCTAACAGATGTATAACAGTGCATTCTTATCAACTCAGCTGCATCAGTCAGCCGACAAGCAGGCAGAGAGGAGAGACAGAGTCTGGCCTACAGTTTTGGAGAGGCCCTGGCTGTCACCTTTGGCTTCCTTTAGCTCAGCAATTGACCCTATGATGACCTGCGGAAACCTGGGTCATAGTACCCTTAAATTCCTTCACAAATACAAACAGTGATAATGAAAATGTAAAGAAAACAAGCAAATGCAACAGGAATGAAAGTGTTCAAATGAAATACTTGATCATCAGCTCCATTAACTGCATGCCATGTTGAGGTTTTAGTGAGGATAATGTTCCTGTGAGAGGAACTGCTCACCTTGGGGCAGTACTGGCACTGTTAAATTGGACAGCAGCGTACTCAACAACTTCCTCCTCCTCCTCTTCCTTGTGTCTTCGGGGGACAGCTGGTATGATGTTGGAGTAGACAGCATCTGTCTGGTTATTGGAGAAGTGGAAACTGGCATAATGAAGGTCATCCTGTTCCCTGTCGTCTGGTCTATCTCCAGGCTCAGATGATTGCTTGGAGGATCTCTTTTTCCTGGTTAGAATGAATTAAAAACCAAGGAAATAATAGTTCATCTGCCAACCTGGCTGCTAACAAGACTCTGGTATTCAATGTAAAATGCATCAGTAAAACAAATCTACTCACCCTATCAGTAGGAGGACAGAGAGCCATATGATAGCCAGGAAAACAGCAGATGTTGTTCCAAAGACTGCTGATTTCCATACTCCTGGGAACACTGGAATAAGACAAAATGACTCATTTGAGTGTGTTCAGATGTTTGGCCACATAGCGTGATATAACAAAAATATTTTTCTTTGCACATGTATTATGTATGTTCTTTTGAAATAGTAGAAGATCTTTTGCCATCCTAAGAGACTCATTACATTGTATAAACGTCCTCCTTTGGGATACCCAAGCTCCCCCTGGCCAGCAGGAAGATTTAACCTCTGTGGTGTGTCCAGGGTCTGTCCTATGACCTTCTCTCAGTCACATGTGCATGGCTAAATCTGGTTCTCGACGCCCTGGCATCATCTTAAATTTCTCCTCTAAATGAAAATCTGCATTGGCTAAATATCGAGGCTGTCATTGTAAAGCGAGCTCATTTTGAATCAATGACTTTAGCTCTGCTCTGAAAAATTAGTGCGAACAAAGCTGCAGTATTTTTCTGACTTGAAATTCACTTTGCCTGTTTGTTTTGAATTTTAGTGCAAATTACATTAATAAATATATAATATATATATTAAAAATATTTAGTGCAGGTGAGGTGCAAACAACTGGGAGTTTTAAATAAGGCAGTGCAAAGCTCAGTTACTCTGAACTGTATTCCACTTCACCCAACCCCACAGAGGGAAGCTTTGGAGCATCTAGTAAGGAATTAAACATTATGTATTGAGACATACTCCACTAGCATGTATGATTTAGAATTACTCTTGGATCATGAAATAAAAAGGTGAACTTACACTGAACGTCTATAGATAGAGATGTAGAGTTTATCTGCCCATATTTGTTTTCAGACTTGCAGAAGTAGATTCCTCTGTCCTCGGAGCTGATGGAGGTGAAATAATAACTTCCTTCTGGTCCTTGATGCAGAGTTTGGTTCTCCTTGTACCAGGTGTATTTAGCTGCTGGGTTAGCATCACTGCTGCAGGTCAGAGTCACTGAACTGCCCTCCACTATCTCAGCAGAGGGACTCACTGACACAGAGGGAAGCTTTGGAGCATCTGTATTACATGAATATAGATTATCATAAGTTGATGCATATTTGGCAGGATGTGGAAAGTTGATCGTGGTCTAAATGTACTGAAGCTGCTCTGTGAATTACAGCAGAAAACTTGAAGCAGGCAGGTAAAATCTTTCCGTTGTCGAGTTAAAAGGATACTCCAGAGATTTAGTTTTGCACTTCCACAAAGTTGGGGGACTCACGAGAAACAGATTTAAATAATTTATCAAACTGAAGCAGTAGAGGATGAAATATCCTGACCTGTAGTCCATAATATGGGTCAAACTCCCAAAAACACTGAATGTCCACTTTTTTCAAAGAAAGCCCAGTTTGTACTGCAGCCTTCTTATTGAAAATTCTTGTTGAAAAGTCTAAAGCCCAAGCTGAAAAAATCAAAGTATGTGACATATACTTCTCAAAAACATTAAGGGAACACTTAAATTAGTTCTAAATATTTACTGTACACTGTATAATTCGTTGAGAACAAAATTATTTAACGGTCAGTGGAAACCAAAATCACCTACTGAATGAGGACTGGACACATTGAAAAGTTAAAAGTAAAAAAATTTAACTGTTAAACTGCAACTCATGATGTGACTCAGTAGTATGTATGGCCCAAGGGGCTGTATGCACTCCTGACAACGTCTCAGCAGTGCTCCTCCTGGTCCTCCTCGCACAAAGAAGCAGTTCTGGCCCTGCTGCCGGGTTGATGTCCCGTCTACGGTGTCCAGCTCTCCTCGTGCAATTATCGGTCTCCTTGTATCTCCTCCATTCTTTTAAACCTGTGCTGGGAGACGCAGCAAACCTTCTTGCTGTGGCACATATGGATGTGCCACCCTGGAGGAGCTGGACTACCTGTGCAACTTGAATGGGCTGCAGATATTGCGTCATGCAACCAGTGGTGACGAGGACGCTAACAAAATGCAAAACTAAAGAACAATCAGTCAGGAAGGGTAAGGAGAGAACAACTGTCTGCGGCCACCACGTGCAAAACCATTCATTTTTTGGGGGGTTGTCTTGCTGTTGCCGCTCCAAAAACAGGTGATTCACAATTACTTATTCTTCCTAACTGGACAGACTGATATCCCAGAAGCTCACTTGACATGATGTTATACTGTGATGATATTTTTAGAGTGTATTTAATCTCTCAATAGCATTAAACCTGTGTTTCACTCACATTTCACATTAATAAAGATGTATTCAGATGTCCTCCTCCCCAGCTGGTTCTCAGCTGCACAGTAATACTCTCCAGAGTCAGAGGACTGGATGGAGCTGAAGACAAGCTGTGGTTCTTTACTGAGATCTTCATGGTCTGGATTTTTAGTCCTCTTGTACCAGATATAGTTAGCTGCTGGCTTAGCATCACAGCTACAAGTCAGATTTACTGACCTGCCCTCCACTAAATCACCAGAGGGACTCGCTGACACGGAGGGAAACTTTGGAGCATCTGCAGGAGATATTAACATACATTAACTTTAAAATGTTTTTGTTAAACAGTCTTTTGTTGTTGATAGTTCAATCCTAAAGAGAATCATTTATTCAGGAAGAAATTAAAGAAAGAAAAACAGATTACATTTCCATTTTTTTTTTAGATGTTTGATTATTGCTGCTGTCCAGAGTTGCTGTGGTCACAAAAATTCTGAAGACTTTGTGTTTCTTCTGGTGTTTCCTGAACCAATTACACACCTTTATAGTAAAAGCTGATTTCCTTTTTTTCTTTTATATTTACTAACTATTTGCTAATAATTATTTTGGGGGAAAGTATCCCTCATTCAAATTGTTGTGGAACTAGTGCTTAAAAATTAAAACAAAAAGCTTGAGTGAACTAAACAGCATAAACACACACACAATTACTGTCACCCATTAAAGACACATATATTCATGATACAGCATTAGTTACACTACTCCACCAGATGGTGTCATGTCAGTGGAAGACTGGATGTAAACTCACACACTGAAGGAGAGCGGGACTTCTCATATCCTCGTACAGCACAGGAAAAGCTGCCTGCAGGATCAAAGGAGCCTGAATATGTAGATGTTTCTTCCTGAATTTTCTGTCCGTTCTTGTACCAGATGTAGGAAGGATGGCCAGGTAGACGACAGCTGCTGTGACACTTCAGCTCTGCCCAGGGAGAATACTTTGATCTGCTCACCTGCACCTGCAGATCTGAATACATGAATAACAGAAATCTTCATTTCTAACTGTCAACACATACAAGCACACAGATGCAAGTAACCTTCATAAGATGTTGAACACATGAAACTAAATTGATAAATATTCAGATGAAAATGTTACCTGTGACAAAACCTCATTTAGTAACTGGACCTTTGAGCCTAGATTTTCTTCATGAAACATTTACAGCACTGATTGCTTGATATTGATCCTTTGGAACAAAAAACTATTTAAATGAATATGTTACCTGTGACAGACAGAGTGACTCCCGGTAAACCAGTATATTTCCCAAGTTCTTGGTTTGTTATGAACCTGAACTTGTACTCAGCTGAGTCGCTCTCTCTCAGGTCTGTGATTCTCAGAGTGCAGCGTTTGTTCTGACAAATATACTCCACACGACCTGAATACTCTGGGTCCGTTTTCAGACCCACATAAACGTTATTACTCTCTTTCGTAAACCAGAATGTTTCCTGAACTTTGGTATCATGATTATTTAAGCTGGATGGATATGTGTAGGTACAGTTTATGTCCACTGTTGATCCTTTTAAGGCACAGATCTGAGTTGGAGTGTAAGTCACTCCCCAGCCATTCTGACTCTGTACCACTGAAAAACAGATGACATCAGAAACTAAAATCAGATTCAAAACATCAGAGAACAAACTTTTTTTCATATATTTATTTTTGTAAAACTTAACTGAACTACTGCACATGTACAAAACTGCGTTGGGAGTCAAACCCTTTGCCATGGAGAATTAACAGTCTACAGGTTTTCATGTCATTTTAAAGACTTTTAGAGGCAGAGGGGAGAAAACCTGTAGACTGTCGGCTCTCCATGGCACAAGACTGGACAACTTGTGTAGGTTCTATGTAATATCCTGTAAGACAAAGAGGATCAAGGTACCAGCGTGTTTTTGGGAACAGCTATCCTGGATAAGCAGTGTCACAAAAACGTATCTCTGTAACTAGAACTGAAAAAGAATAACGTATTTTATCAGGTGTTTCAGTTTTTATTGATACAATAGGAATATTTATCAATGTTGGTGCAACAGCTTCGGTCCATTCATTTAAGACATAGAAAAGGACATTAGGGGGGAATCGGAGGAGCATTTATTTACTTTTTGCTCTCTAAAACCTTGTATTAAATATTTGATGGAGATCATACACCCTAACTCTGAAGTCTCATGGAGGGGATGATGGCACAGACGTAACTATTGTTGACTAGCTATCAGTTTTAAAGATCAAGTCATCAAATCCGTTTAATTAAAAAATAAATTTACTTTGTGGTATGGCTGCTGACTGAAGGCCTTCCCCATAACATCAGATATAGCTGTGTATTTTAGTCTTTTCAATGTTTTTCATGCTTTTATCTTGTAATGTTTTTGTATTATTGTCTCGTGGGTATTATTGTCTTTACACTTGTTAAAGCACTTTGTAACTTGTTTTTGAAAAGTTGTGAATCACCTGTTTTTGGAGTGCTCTTAAATAAAGGTTATTATTATTATCATTATAGCTGATCCAGGGTCCCTGCGTGTGCAGGGGAATTTAAAAAAGAATCATCAATCAAAACGTGGACCATGATGTTTCTCTTAAATCACAGGATGAAAGGAGTCACTTAGTTAACAATAATACATTTTATTCAGCATAGTCTGCTCATTCATCATTTACCAGACATAAATTTCTGTAATGTTGCATTGGATTTTAATTATATTTATTCACCTGTAACCTGACAGGGACAAAATACCACTGGCAATAACTGAAGATGAAAATATAGATAAGACACAATTTAGTCATGGACCTATGATTAGTCCGACCCAGTAATAATAATTTTGGTCATTTGCATTTGAAAATGTGTCTCTGTTCAAACTGACTGTAATGTTTTAGACGTCCAGCCTATTTTATGTAAAAAAATTATGCTCATTTCACATTTAGATACGATGCTTCTATGGGTGGAGCCTGATTCGAAGCTTCGCAGCGAAACATGCAATTTTGTCTATATGTTAGTGTCAACGTTTAATTTTACATAGAACCACCAGTTTTCTGACAATAAGTTAATATACAGCCAATTACAATATACATTTCAATGTTTGATTCTTTAACTAAACATGTGTAAAGAAAAACACTTTCAATAAATGTTTTTAAAGTGAGTAAATAAATCCAACATTGTAACACTGGGTCGTCATGTGTGTGGTGGCAGAAGAGGAACACTTGCTGAAAAGATGGAGCCCCAGCTTCACCGGTGTTGTGCCGAGTTGTCGCGGGACTTTTGGATAATTTGTCACCGTTGATGAACCACACAAAGAATATTATATCGTTTTTAGACCCGCGAGGAACCGCGACGCGCATGCAGTTGTCGGCAGCACGGCATGCACGTAAAACTCTGCACAAGACCGGTGAATGGCAGGAGGGAGGGAGGGAGAGAGAGGGGGAGAGAGAGAGGTCAAAAATAAGCCTCAGTTTAGCTTTAGGGACAGCCCTAAACATGACAAATGATTGTTCATTGATCAGTTAGGCTACAGGCATATAGATTAGTTTGATTGAAACAGTGATTACTGCAGTAGTGTAGGCCACTAAATGTTTCAGTGTAACTGTTGCTGCCTTAATGTCCACAGAGTCACAGTGATACACAGAAGGACAGAGTAGCCCGTATAGATTTTATCTGTGCTGAGGATGAATCCACAATGTCGCTGTCTCAGTCCTTACATTGATGACAGATTGATCATAAAAGTGGTCATGTTGAAGATCATGTTTGGGTACGGAACCTATATCTAACTGGGACTTTGATGTTTGCAAAAACTTCTGCAAATGAATGTTTTCAGTTTCTGCTTTGGTATCGACAGTATGAATGAGGAAATGAAACGCTGCGTCAGACCGCTGCTTCAGGCTCCGCAGGAGGGGAAGAGTCAGAGAGAAACTCAGCATTTGTTGAAGAAAACCTTCTCCCGAGCAGCTTAGCTGCAGCTGAGTTACTGATCTCGTTTTTTCATGATTTCAGCCCTGCCACGCCCAGAGGCTTTCCCATAGTGCCGTCACCGACGCAGTGTCTCGTTCCCCTTCTCGGAGAACAAGGGTTACATACGTAACCCGAGACGTTCTATTTCATCATTTCAGACGATGGCATGTAATACTTATTTTGTCCAATTGGGGGAGCTCAGGTTACATGACGATAGCTTGGATTAACCCCAAGACAATCTTTGCTCAGGAGCTGTGGAATTTGGTTAGTTAACATTAAATTCAAGCTGGCACAGTATAGGATGAAATTTCTTTATCATATCTTTTCTAAAGGAAGTGTCAGAAAGTATTGTGACCAAGCACTGGTTACGCATAAAATGAAAGAATGTCATTAACCTTGCTGAAAATTAAAACACTGCAAAATTAACTTATTTAGATTCTTTTCAGCAACAATATCAACAACAGATAGCAACAACAAGGTAACATAACTACTAACTTAAGAGGCAGCGCCACTACTAACTTAGCAAGGATTATTATTTAAAGAGAATAACAGTTTATAATGAAACATTGTTTTTGCTCAAGAAGGAAAGAGTTGTTAAGTACCCCTTTGGCATTCCTGGCTTATGACGTTTGCACATCAGCTAAAAGAAGAGACAGGAGTGGTGTTTTATGGCCCAGCCATTCTATGGGAAAAAGGGATCAGAAGTCCGGTACTTTGACGTCCTGAGGCACCCTATAGGGAGAGGGATTGGACACTTCTTTTTGCTGTCCTGCTAAGTGTCTGTTGACACCTTTACAGCGTCCTTAAGCAATGCATGTCTGATTGAGTCTCTGCAGACCCTTTACCAAACCCCAGGCGATGTCTCTAGTATTTGCATGTCAAAAGGCCAACCTCCAGGGGAGGAAACTTTCAAGGATAATTCAATTCAAACAAACAAAAAGAGTTAAGAAAAATAACGCATCAAACTTGTAGCAACGCTAACAAGAGGCACGTGTTCACAGCAGCACCGCCTCACCCCCCCCCCCCCCAAAAAAAAACAACCAAAAGAAACATTCCTATAAAGAAAGAAAACCCTCTACTTGGTTTGGCCCGGTAATGTCATCCATGACCACCCTATTCCTATAAAACAGGAAATGCTTAGGCCGGCCCTTCCCCAAACAATTATCCTGCATGGTGGAACTGAACAAAGGAACAAACAATTGTAAGTATTAACACAGGAAAACAATTAAACCATGTTTAAACTAATAAAATGGAACTGAAACTAACTTTGCTGTCGACTGTAACATAATGCAAACACAAACAACCGGGATCGTAAGTGGTGCACTTTTACACAAGCTATGATAAATAACCAAATGGCCTGTATGGGACAAGTGGTGAGCAAACCCACTTCGTCACACAAACTATGAACTTTCTATCTATTTAAGAGAGTGTAACAAACTAGTTTTGAGGCACTTCAAAACATCCAACCACCAACAAAGACCATCTAAGGAAATCTTATCGTAAATGTGGTCATAGTTTAGGGTCTGTCAGTGATGCTAAACTAAACAGGAACAGAAGAAAACACAGTTTGATGAATCGCTTGGATGCACACCATGGGTTCAAATTGATGTGCTGCATCAGTGTGGAAAAAAGTCACATGATGCAGTCTTATTGACTGTATAAGACCTATTTTTCAAAAAAAAAATCTGTTTATTTTAATTAAAATACAGGTCAAATACTAATAAAACGTTACATGAAAAGACTAAATGTTACAAAAGTCAGACAAATTATATTTAAAGGTGAATGCAAAAAATACTTTACATATTCTAAAAAGCAGACCCATGCAGTAAGTAAGTTTCTCTAGGGCATATAATTCATTTGTAAATTTGTAAATGCAATATCTGTTTTGGTCATTAGGTTTTGTTGACTGTGCTGTACAATGCAGCTGGATCCTCTCCAGTTTCCTGACCTCTGGTTCTGAAAAAAACAGAAGATATTGTTTGAAAAAATATAATTACCATCATATCCCAACAGTGTTTTAGAGTTTAAATATAAAAAAGGAGGGAAAATGACAAATCAACACGTTTATTTCATTTGTTATGTCATCTGAATCTTGCAGTGAGTAGTGTTGTAGTACTCGAGACCGGTCTTGGTCTCAAGTACTACAAAAAATAATCCTACTTAAAAATATGTTCCCCCTCCCTGCTATAGTAAGCATGGAAAAGGAGTGTTGAATAAAGATGTTTTTTGTTGATTTCAGCTTTTAGTGTTTGTATGCGGGTGTCTTAATGGGAATGTGATGATTCGTTCATTTTCACGCATGTGTGAAGGATCTTGGACTCTTACGTTCACTCGTCACACGGGAGGTGCATGGGCTCCGTCAGCACAGGAAACAGAATTGATTAGTTCACGACTCTCAACTGTGGGTCTCTGGGTCTGAGTCGTTCATTTATCACCTGACAGCTCCTACTGTGCAGCAGGAATGAACGACTCGTTCAGCGCTCACATGGGTCCTCCTCAGTCTTTCGTTCACTCTGCAGGCTGAGTGACTGCCAGCGCCGGAGAATGAGAGGCAGGTCGGCTGTCGGGTAACAGTCACTGGACTGACATTATATCTAATATCTATTTTGTAACATTTTATAAAGCATAACGTTATAACAGCGTAGTGATGTTGTGCTAAGTTATAGTTTTAACACAGCCGCCCTAACTTTAGTCCTGCTAGTGTTTACAGCTAACAGCTGAGAGTTGTTCTGGGTCCACTTCAGAGCCCTGACAGGGTTCTACCGGGAGCCGAATTACCTCCAAGGTCGTCTCCTCTCCAAAACAAACCCGGTCATTAAAACATTTAAACAGCCACGTAGCAACGTTAGCCCTGTAAACAGCTAACAGCTGATCCAGGTCTGCCAGAACGTGGAGATGTGGCCCATTCTGCATCCAGACCTGCCAAATTGCTGCGTTTATATGTGTTAATTAGGGCCCTAGGAAGAACCGTGCGAGGTCCCTATTGGAAAGTAAGCTCAATTTTGGGAGCCTAAACATACCCGAAAACTCACCAAACTTTGCACACAGTCAGAAGTGGTGAAAAAAATCGTATTTTATGGGTTTCGCGCATGGGCGTGGCAAAATGAATCACTAGCGCCACCTAGAAAATTGGAAAAAAATTAGCCCTCGTCCACGCTCAACCTACATAAACAAAAAAGCCTCAAGAACCCATATCCTAAACTCAACAGGAATTCGGCCATTTTGAATTTTACGGCCATTTTTGGATGATTTACACACTCCGTACTTTAACAAACTCCTCTTGGCATTTAGTCCGATCGACTTCAAATTTAAAGGCATTGACGATGCTATTTGTGAGTTTTCGTCAATGGGCGTGTCCGTGGCATCGATGATTCGCCATGAAACAGGAAGTTATTATAACTTCAGTGTACATGCTCACATCTGCACTAAACTGTACATGTAGGATGAGAGTCCCGCCCTGAACACATGTACATGCCGACATTCACCCACAGTCATAGCGCCACCTGCTGGCAACAGGAAGTGACCTTTAATGAAGCAGCCCCCGCCGCACGTTTGACCTACATGTATGAAATTTCTGTGGCACATGTATCATGTCCAGACGTACCAAAAAGCCTCTTGGAGCGATGCCCTAAACCCAACAGGAAGTCGGCCATTTTGAATTTTACTGCAATTTTGGATGATTTACACACTCTTTATATTATTTAGTCCGATCGACTTCGAATTTCTGCTGTGCCTTCTAAAGGCATTGACGATGAAAAGTTGCGCTATCTGTGAGTTTTCGTCATGGGCGTGTCCGTGGCATGCCGTCAAAGATCAACTCTTCGCCATGACACAAGAAGTTGTTGTAACTTCAGTGTACATGATCACATCTGAACAAAACTTTACGTGCTTGATAACTCTCCCACCCGAAGACATCTACACGCCAATACCGATTTATATTCATAGTGGCAAGTGCTATGTAGCGCCACATAGGGGGCACAGGAAGTGACATTTAACACCTTCATGCAGCGTCGGAACCACGTAGCAAATTCACAGCCGCACCGGCAGAGCTCCAGAATATGCAACGCGGCTGGCTCACACCCGGACGCGCTACAAGTGCCAGGGCCCGCCCAACGCTGCTTGCAGTATATTTCTTTGTTCCTCTCTCTGTGCTGGAGTTCTTTAAGAACTTGTGGCTTGATCCAGATTATTATTAAATTGGTTGAATTTTATAATGATGACATACAGTAATAAAGAGGTGAATTTGTGCATTATACTTTGTCAAACAACGCAAACCAGGCAGCCTTCCATGTTTCAGAACGGCGCTGTTTTTTAATCGCCCACTAGAGGGCTGCAGTGCCACAATAACCAGCCTAGTTCAAATGAACAAAATGACTCAAAAAAAGTTAGTTAGTTCATTTTAATGAACGAGATTTGAATGAACAAGTCTGTCAAAAGAGTCGAGCTTGCCATCACTAGTTTCAGTCTCAATAAACTCTGGTCTTGGTCTTGACTACAGCAATTGTAGTGAGGATAATGTTTCTGTGAGAAGAGCTGCTCACCTCGGGGCAGTATTACTCTTAAATGTGACAACAGCGTCTCCATGAAATCTTGCTGCTCCGTGTGTCTGAGGGAGCGAGCTGGTCTGATGTTGGAGTAGAGAGGATCTGCCTGGTTGTTGGTGAAGTGAACGCTGGCATACTGAAGGTTATCCTGCTCCTCTGGCTGTTCAGGTAGAAACTGCACAGACATATTTACATGAGTGGGTTTTCATTTGAATAGTGAATTCTTACAGATGATTGCAAGACTGAAGGAACTACAGCTGTGGTAATAATGGAACAAATATCCTGCTTCACCGTGCATTACAGAAAAGAGCTAAGTAAAGGAATTTACAAGGAAAGGACAAAAAGTAGGAAAGCTTCTGGATCTACTAGGAATTTAGTCACATCCGAGAAAAGAGGAGAATCACAGAGAGCGTTTTAGAAATTCATTTCTGTGAAGAAGGATGTCGAAAAAAGAGCAACATGAAGTCCTAAAAGTCAGATTAAGTGACTTTTGTTCTTGAATAAGATCCGTGACTATTCTCACCTGTTCCCTGTTGTCTGGTCTCTCTTCAGGCTCAGACGATTCCTTGGAAGCCCTCTTTTTCCTGGTTAGGAGAATAAATAAGAAAATAAATGATTGAACATTTAAATTGGACAAACTGACCTTCAATGATTTAACATTCAATGATTCAGTGAAACAGAGCTGCTCACCTGATCCACAGGAAGAGACAGAGGGAAATGATAACCAGGAGAACAACAGTGATTGTTGTAGCAACTGCTAATTTCCCTGCTCCTGAGAAACAGGGAACAAAAGAAAACACAGACAGTAAATTAGAGTGTTACAGCATGTTTGGACCCATTGCTCCCATAGAGTAACACTGCTTTCCAAACACAAGAAAATATAACGTGTAAATAAACCTCTTTAGAATGTTAGAAAGAAGAAACTAAAAGCCAAAGTAGATCAGAATGTTATCTGGCCCTAAAAAGAGATTATTATTTCTCTACTGTCAAAGATAGAAAGCAGAGACAGACCTGAAACCAAATACAGGCTCAGTGACCACAACTGGCAATCAAAAAGAAAGAAAATGAAAAAAGAAATCAGGGAAACCAAATAAAATGTCTGTGAAGGTTCTCAGTCATCCAGGTCATACTTTCCAAAGATGGTTAAATTCAAGGGAAACTGGACTTTGTTGAAGATACTAGAAGACGTTTCGTCCCTCATCCAAGAGACTTCTTCAGTTTTTTTTTAAACCTGTCCTGCCCAGCAGCCTGCTATAGAGTATGATGAGCTGGATACCATATTGTGCCAGACAGATTTTACTTTAACAAGAGAGTATTAATATACTCCTTTCTCTGTTTT